CAATGCTTAAACACGAATCTGATGTAAGATAGAGAGAAGAGAGTCGTAGAAAGAATCGATGAAAAATAAATAGTGAATCGTGTTGTTCTTTCAGAACTCATGTGATGACAAAATGTTTTACATATATTCTATAATATTATATTTCTCTTCCTATTTATGTATTGCTTATCACTGCGTAAAATTCGAGTTAAGGTCATGGAGAAGTTGTCGTATTGTGGAAAACGATAGCGAATTGGTTATCAGACAAGAACTAAGGATCCTACACAACGTGAAGAAACATCTGAACTTTATAATCTTTCACTTACAAGAAAATAAGAGATTGTCTCTTCTATTGTCAGAATGTGAGTCATACTGTTGTGTTATATGTACCATTTCTTCTTTTATTCTAGTGCCATAGATGAGTCATAATCATGTCTTATTTTGATTTCTCTATCATATTCAAGAGTAATATTTTTCTCTTTTGTCCTGTGACATTCTTTCTTTTAATATAACTTTATAAATGTTTAGTTATATTCGAGAAGTTTGTTCTCTTTCACACTTCAGTGCATACATTCAGATTTTTGGGTTTGAGATTGTAGTGCACAAGTTAAATATATAGTATTGAACTGTTAAAAGCGAATTTTGTACAAATTTCTATACTTTTTATTGTATTTCTATAAAAACCTTAGCTGTTTCCTCTTTTAATATAGTAGGTAAACAGTTGATGACTCAAGCAAACCATATAATTTTTATTTCATCTATTCCTTACTTTTACTATAAAGTTTGTGACTTTCTTAGAAATTTCTACGAGAACTTTTTGTGAAACATGATCTAAAAGGAGTGTTGAAGCATATAAGTAGAAATTCGGAACAAAAGACTTTCGTTTAAATATCAGAAAACAATATTTCAAATAGCAAGAAACTTTGTTTTTAAAAATATTTCTTTATGTAAACATTTACTTGAGAGTCAACTGTTATGTTACTATATGAGTTATGCAAAATAAGAAAGACAAATACTCGTTTAATATATATTGCGATAGTTATATTCGTTCTTCATTCTCTTGCTTATTTAAAAGTAATTACTAAATATATACAACAATAAGATAAAATTCTTAACAACGAAATTTTTACCATCATAAATATAGGGTGTGGGGTGGGTGTGTGGGCGTTGATGATGAGAACACCCACACCCTACACTCTCTTAGAAGACGAAAAAATTTTTTCTCAGACTTAAACGAAAGCAGCTAAGACATTGATATTGATGATATTCATCAAGGTTCCTACAGGATAAAATGCTTTAAAGCTCTTTCTTTTGTTATTATGAAGTGCATATGCTGATAGAAAATAAATGATTATATTTAAGGATATATACTGTATATTGGTTACATCAAGTTAAACAAAAGCTATATTAACATGAGCAAATTTGAATATCAATTTGATTCAAGGTCTATAGAAATTTTGAAAAGAAATATCTAAACTTCAGTTTTTTTCAATCTTGATAGTTCAGCTTTTTGATTGATGTAAAGCTAAAATAACAAAGAAACAAGTAATTTTGAATGAAAATAAATAATATTTTAACATACTCTATTGATTGCCTCACATAATTGATCCATTCTATCAGGAAAATTTTCAATTGGATCAAAGTATTGTGAACGTATTTGCGAATCTCGTTCTCCTTGAATGTCTGACTCACTTGCCTTTTTCAAACCTAAAGTATAAACAAATAATCCTCATTTAACTCAATTGAATATTCTAACCTGTCCAACGCAAAAATTTCGTTACCATAAATGATAAAATCTCTTCATCTTCACATCTATTTTCTCGTGCACGACGAAAACTATCATTAATAATCGAAAGAAACATACTCAAACAAACAAATACAACCAATAAGATAAAGAGAAAAAAGAAAAATGGACCAAGAAATGCATTTGCTTCAATTAATTGACCTGTATCAAATTTCATTAATGTCATTTCAAACAACATTTGTGCAGTTCCTAATACAGATGAACACGACGAAATACTTGATACAAATGATAAATAAAATAACCAAAGAAAAGACACGAATACAATTGAAAACATCATTGAAAATGAAAGAAGTTCTTTGCCAGCATATTGAAGTGTTTGAATAAATAATAATAAACGTTGATTAAAACGAATTACATGAACGAATTTAATTATTCCAAAAAAACAACAAAAACTAAGAAGAAATGTTAAAAGATCATTGACATAAACTGCAAATTGCAAATTAACATAAACATATCCATTCGTTTCTTCGAAAAGTGAACTAATACGGTTAAATTCTTGAAAACGCCACATATAAATTACAACACTTCCCCATGAACAACTAATGATTCCTAAGTTAATCCATGACCAAAATCCACGAAAATATTTTAATTTTAATCGAAACAATAATCGAATTTCGATTATCATTAAATAAATGATAAAACCCATATAAATAATTGTAGAAATTAATTGTAAGACTGATGTAAATGCTAAAGCAAAATTTATTTAGATTAAAAATCGAAAAAAATGTTCATTACTGTAGAAATTAATTGGCTCAAAACGAGCTGTTGGAGCTATTGAACCTGTTGATAAAAATTCGATAAGAAAAGTAACCGAAGTAAATAATTGAACATTTGGATTATATAATGTTAATTGAATAAAAATCACTCTTGTTTGCTCATCAATCCATCCTAATTGATGAAGTTTGGATAAATTACTTCGAAGATCAGACAAACGACCACGAAATTCATATACATAACCATTTCCACTATATGTCCCATGTTCACCCATTGAAATATATGTATCTAATTCTTCACTGGTGGAATATTTAAATGCTTTGATGATTGATGAACTATATTGTTCGTCTGTTGTTGATGTTTGATTAATCCATCCTGGTTGAAATGATTGTTTTTCTTCATTAAATAAACTATAATCATTGTGACATGTTGAAATAATACGTTGATCAGAACAGAAATTTGATTTTATACGTAATTGTCTCATTATTGACCAGCCGATTAATCGATTAGATTTATCATTTAGATATCCATTCAAATTTCGGGGAATTTCACCGTTATACCATTGCTGAGCACGAAGATTTTCAACGAAACTATTTTCTAACCATTTCCAATATTCATTTATTGTCGAAATCTAAAAGACAAAACATTTTTATAAAACAAATCAAAAAATAATAAACCTGTGTGTAATCATAATTGGTTTGTCTTGTATTCAAAAGATATTTTCGTAAATGTTGAACTTGAAAGAAACTATTTTGTTCCCGATTTGAATAAGTTATTACACAAATCAATATTAAAAATATCAAATAAGTGACAAATTCTTGAATAATTAACCACATTTGGATTTCTTTTAAACGTTGTTCACGAGCATAAGCTATTTCGCTTTCGTTAAGACGATTTATAGTTTTTGAGGATCGGGAAGGAAATAAGAGATCACCCTACAAAATGAACATTCATTTCAATCAGTTTTCAATGAAACAAAGAACGAACCTCAAATGAATGAAGATATTCTTCATCATAATCTAAATCAATCTGATTCTCATCTATAAATTGACTTGCTTCTTTATCATCATGTGAATTTCGAAAAAAACAAGCAAAGAATATTGCCAAACATACAATCTTTAATTAAAAAAAAAACATTTGAAAACCAATAAATTAGAGATGAAAAAATCTACTTTGATAGGTTGAGTAAGAAGAATCGAGGAAAAAATTCCAGTAAGAATTGATGTTAACCATTTTTGCGTTTTTAAATCACCAAATTCAATTCCTCGAGCAATGATAAAAAGAATTGAAACAGCAATCATTAGAAACGAAAGAGCATAAGCAATAAATAAACACCACCAAGGAAATGTTATTTCACATTGTTTTTTCTTAGTTACACGAACAATTTCTGCATTACTAAACAAACGAGATCAAATTTAAGAAAATATTTATTTCAAAATTGACTGACATTTGTAAAGATGGTTTAATCTTATACAATGCTTGATGTAATGATGAAATTTGTTGACGAGATCGAATACGTCGAAAGAATTGAACAATTAAAAGACTTGGAACTAATGACAACAATTCAACCATAACACCAATTCCAATCTTAAACAAATCAAAATCTTTCAAACATATTCAATTTCTATCGTATAGAAGTCAACGTACCTGTTCACGACTTATATAAAAAGGACCAATTGATAAACTGCTATCCTCTTTTGATGCTTTTGCTTCTGCTGATAAATCATAATACATCATATTAATTAACATTGACAGAAGTAATAAAACAAAACAACAAGTGCATCGTTGCACGCGAGTAAATTTATTTGACGGTGGACGAAAGAATATTGAAAACCATAAATGACCGTCAGATATACTATGATATGTTTTCTTCGATAATATATAAGAAAATTCGTGTTTTTCTAATTCACCAGCAACTGGTAAAACTCGTTCAATCTATTGCGAACAATGAAGAATAAGATATGAAAAAAACATAACTTACAAGTCCATCATCTTTGTCAACTGCAAACCAACGTTGTGCGATAAAATGAAATTTTTCCATTGTTTGTAAATCTCGAACAATAATATATTTCAAAAACCATGATGCAGATGAACCTTGACCTGAATTATCATGCCAAATACGAATATAATTTAATAATCCCAATAATCTAAACATCAATCTCTCTCTCTTTTCTTTTTCTATTATTAAAAGAAAATAAATTTACTTTGGAACAGACAGAATAAATGCATCAATTCCACCACGTTGGAAAATCTTTCGATGAGGATCTGAAAATGTTCGAACATGTGTGTCATCATTATCACCCGATAAAATAAACTGAACCTAAACAAAGAATTTTTGTAATCTTCTTTTTTTTTTTTCTTTACTTTTGATTCTGTTCCAGAATTTGCTCGTTGACCAGTAAAAACAAGAATTTGATAAAAATATAGATCTGATTTTTGATTATCATGTAATGGTGTTACTCCCAACTAAACAATCCATCTGATAAAGAAATATTTTAATTATCTTAATTTACCTTTTCAATATCTTTTCTGTCTTTAAAACGCGCATAAATTATCAATATTATGTAAATAACAGAGGCACAAATGATCGTTAAATAAACAGTTTTATTTTTCATAAAATCATTATTTGCAAAAACATAACTCCAATTAATTGGCGTTGGTAAAACAATAAAACCACCAGCAAATGTTGTTAAATGAGTTGAAAAACATTCAGTTTCATAATGATTTGTTAATGGACCAACTATTAATCCATCTGATTTCCAGTTGTTGTTCAAATCAAGATAATAACAACCTGATATATATAGACGAAGTTCGTAATTTGATGTAAAATTAAATTTTTCATCTGTAACAGGAAGATTATTAACTGAGGATTTATTTGAACAAAACTCAATAAATTCTTTTGAATTTAATTCTCGTAAACCAAATATTAATGATTGATGTGCAGATGTTTGTTGATTATCAATAAAATAGGTGTACATACTTTCATTTGACAAATCTATGATTGAAAATGATTGATAATTTGAATTCGTTCAAATGAAATAAAACTTACTTGAAGGACAAAAGAGAGTCCAGCTATTAATCGAATTAATCGAACTATTTAATTGAGGTGTTTGATCAAATTTATAAATAAATAAATAAGCAAGACTTGAATTTAAAGGATGCATCTCTATATGAATTGAAATAGAAAGAGAACTTGTTATATTCAAATAATGGAAATTAAATAATAAATTATGAATAGTTGAATTAATTGATGTGACATTTTGTAAATTCATTGGTGGAATTATCACATTTGGATCACGAGGAATAATTATACGAATTGGATAATTTTCACTTGTTTGAATAGAAACTTGATTTCCATTTCGATCAAGAATTGAAAGTGAAATTGAGGTTGAAAGATTTGTATTTGATTGTGTTTTGGAATTTCCATAGGAAGCAAGTGGTTCCATCATTGACTAAATAAAACAACGATAAAAGAAAAACATTCAAATAGGAAAAACAACAACCCTCACTCGAAGTGAAATCGAAGAAATATTTGTCGTATTCAAAGTAAAACTTGATGGAATATCAAAGTGAGCATTTGCAACTTGTTTAACAATTTTATTTTCAAGTGATTTAATCGATAGTGTTTCTAATGACATAAATGTTTGAGATGTATTTATTGTCAAATTTTGACCAATATTTATATGAATATTTAATGCAGAAGTTGATAATGCAATTATTTCATTTACTTGATTTTTTATTTGATTTGCTAATTGTTTTTGATAATAAACATTTCGATTCTTTTCAATTGTTTCAATTGAAAAATCATTTCCATCAGCAAATAAATCTACATTTAAATCTAATCTTTATTATCCCATCAATGAGAAATCTTACTTAGATTTGACCATTCAGATTCAAGATCTGTATCATAATCAGTAGGGAATGAATTTGCACGAGATAAGTCTAAATCAAGTAAACTTGTTCTTTCTTGTAATGGTCCATTTACACCCTAAATTTATTATTAAGAATCTTCTCATCTTTAGAAAGGTAGCTTTTACGGTTAAAATATTTGAAGCACATTGAATAAGTTGGTTCGATGCTGTTTGAACATCTTCATATGAAACTTTTGTTGCCTTTGAATGTAAAGCAACTGATAATTGATAACATCTATTTGACGCAATCGTCTACAATTATTCAAATAAAATCTTGAAGAAAAAACTCATTTTCTTTTGTTTACTAAAGTAGTTCGTGTTAATTGATTTGTAGCTTGAGTTAATTGAGCTAATGAAGATGATTGTAATTTAATACTATTTGATGTTGTAATAAGAAGATTAGTTATAAATCCTACCAAATAATCTCGAACATTTGCTTGAGAATTTAATTCTTTTTTATATTCAATCAAAGCTGATTCATTCAACGGTATTGAAGTCTATTTCACAAAAGAAATTAAAGAGAAAAATTCATTGATTTTAATTACTGTTTGGAAGCTTGCACCTCCTAATGGTGATATTGAAATACTTGTCGCTGGAATACCATCTAAAAAACGTCATTTCGAATAGTTTCTAGTGATATATAAATGTAATTATTTACTTGAAACAGCGTCATCTACACTTTCAGTGTTCATTTGATTAAAGTATTGTGAAAGTGAAGTAATGATTTGTCCAACAATATTTTGATTTCCACTATAAAGTAATTGAACAATTGGATTATTAGTTATTTCATTTGAGGAGCTTTGTATATTATTAATTAAATCATTTATTCCTCCGGAATCCGATATAACACTAATAGAAGACATATTGACTTCTGTGATACAATCAAGAAAATCTCGAATATAAATAACAATATTGAGTAATGATGTTTGATTATCTCCAGTTAGTAAGCGAACTTGAAAATCAGATACTGGTGAAAATGCCATTATTACTCTTTGTGATGAATCTTTTGTCCAAACTAAAATTACAAAATTATTTTCATAATGAGAAGAATTGAAAGAGAAAATGTCTATACCATAAACTGAGTAATCTTTAATTCCATCTTCATCAAACCAATTTGGACATGAAACTGTAAATAAAGTGCTTGTCGTACCGTTCCGAGGATCAATTGAACAAGAACCATTGTATGGAGATTGATTAATGACAAAATTCAATGCACTTGAACTCGTTTCGAATGAAAATGTATAAACGACTTCAAATCGCCAAAGATTTATTTGAGGATTATCACGAAAAAGTTTATTTGTTGCTGTGAAGTTACTTGTATTTGAACCAAAAAACCAAATATTTTCATATGAAATCATTTGATTGAATAAAAACCAAAGAGTAATATTTGCCGATGAATTTGCTGAACCTTGATAAACATTCCATCGTATATTTTTAATATTTGTACAAATTCCAACACAAATAGCAAATAAAGCAACTTGTGTTGATGGATTAACAAGTTGAAATTCAAGATTTGGAACACACATTGTTGATATAACACAACTAAATAAAACATTTCTCAACGTTCAATCACTTTGAAAAAGAAAAGAATTTACCCAATAGCAATTAATTGTGGACGAGTATCTTCAACTCGTACAAGTACATAACCAGTTGCTTGAATAGAAGAATTCTTACGGTTTTCCATATAAACCATAAATTGATATGTTCGATTTGATTGAAGTGAACCAGAAAGAATTTTTACGGATGATTTTGGTGACAAAGTTGAATTTCCATATATCAATCTTGTTCCATTACCTTTTTTTTTTGACAAATAATGATTATTATTGAAAATAACAAATTTTACCTGATTGATTTGATAAACATGTTGGATTCAATGGATCATTTCTTGAATCATCAATTGATAATAATATACCTTGCAAATTGGGAAAGTTATATAAACCATATATTCGACAATGATATTCATATTTCCATTTCTAACAAAAGAAGATTCGTTAATAAGTTTATATGATTAAGACTTACAGTAGCATCAAATGAATCTTCATCAGGATCAACAGAAAATGTTCCAGGATCAAGTAAAAGATCTTGTTGATTTCCACGTGTAATCATTGATGTTCCTAACTGAACAAGATTTGCTGTTATACCTGATGCAGTTATTCTCACATAAGCAGAAGATGTGGATTTTAAAATGGGTGAATCAACCATTGTTACAGTTAATGTTAGTTCATAAGTTCCATAAGCCAAAGTTCTTGATGGAATATAAAGTTCACTAAGTGTTGTAATAACTTTTTCACTTAATTGAATTTGAAATAAACAAGAAGTAGTAGTACAATTCTTTATTGTCCATTGAATAATTGTTGAAAGTGAACCACCACAATTGAATTGAAGAATAGAAATAATTGAAAAATCTTGACTTCGTCGATATTGTAATGGAGATGCTAAAGATGATTTCCCAGGAACGAGTGTCAGAGTTGGTGAAAAGCAAGCTACAATAAAATTATTGACAAATCATCTGTTATGTCATCAGAGTGATTACTTTGATTAGTAATAAATGGTTCCGAAGTTGTAATAATCGTAACTGTCGATGAATGTTGTTCTGTTGAAGAGGTGTCTTCTAGAAATATTTTGACAAAATCGTCTTATCGAAAGTATTCTCATCAACAAACGTGTTTCAAGCTGTGTTATGTTTTTGACATCAGTTGTTTGGATGATCTCGGTGGATATTTCCTCTATCAAAGTAAAAAATTTGTATGTAAACTTTCAATTAGAAAGTATTTCATGTGGCAAACCTATTGGAAAGTTTGTTGTAGTTGGAGCTAGCATCGTTTTGATGGCAGATATGGTGGGGATCACAGTGGAATCGATGACACTTGTTGTTGGAGCTATCGTAGTTTCGACGGCGCTTGTAGTTTGGACTGGCGTGGTTTCGATAGCGCTTGTGGTCAGAGCCAAAGTAGAATCGATGACGCTTGTGATTGGAACTGCAGTAGAATCGATAGCACTTGTGGTTGAAAACGTAGTAGAATCAATGGGACTTATGACCAGTGCTGCTGTAGTTTGGATGGCACTTGTGACCGGTGCTGTTGTAGTTTGAATGGCATTCGCAGTCGAAACTGCAGTTGGTTGAATAGTGGTTGGTGCACCTGAAACGAACAATATTTTTTATGCTTTATTGAATCACACAGAAGAGAGACTACTTATCTTGAGGGTGGGTGGGTAGGTGAGTGAGGGTGAGATGGATAGAAGATTTTCACTTTCATTCTCACTATCTACCAACTCCTACTCCACCCACCCACGTTCACCCTCACACACACTCTCACCATTCAATTTCCTTAGAAGAACTTCTTAAATAATATATATCAGATTTTGTCATTCTCTATGTATCAACAGTCATAAATTGACACTTACGATAAGTAGTATTTGGCATTAAAATAAACTTTTGTATTCGACTATTACTTTGATCAGTGACATATATGTTTCCATAGCTATCAAATTTAAGATCCGATGGACTAGATAATTGACTAGATAATGAACCAGCGACAGTCGAACAGCCAACTATACATCGAAAACCATTAGGACCTGATCCAACAATACGATTATTTAAACTATCCACAATAAAAAGATATCCATCAGCATCAAGTACAACTCCGCTAGGACAATTAAGTGTAATTGTTCCTATTGCTGTACTACCTGCTACTGTTATTCCGGTGACTTGTCCTGAGGGAAACTGTTGTATTCGATCATTTCCACAATCAGCTACGTACAAATTAAGATCAGCATCAACAAATATTCCACGTGGATTATGAAGTGTATTAGATGTTGAGCCAAAACAATCGGTTCCTGCAGCTACGATCCATATGTTTGAATTACTATTCATTGATTTTGTCATAACTTGATGAATATTATACATGGAACAGTAACAATTTTCATGGATATCAATAAAAATACCATAACATTCCTCTTTGACATACATTGCTGTACTACTTGTTCCATTTAATGTCCACTTGTCGACACGATTATATGAAACTCCATTATCGACATAAATATCACCATTAGTTGTAACGAAGATACTGTATGGATACGATAAACCATTGGTGATATTCCTTGTGGGTATACTGCTTCCTTCTAACCATATTTGAACCCGACTGTTTGCTCGATTGGCCACATAAACAGTATTGTTAGTGCTGACAAAAAGCCCATAAGGAGATGCACCAACTGTACCACTGGTTGCAAATGTTATTGCATTACCATCCCAAGAAGCAAATGCACTGAATTTTGGTTGATTGTACGAAACAGCTAAAATAATATATGTGGATAATACATTAGATCTGTTTTTTTTTATTTTATACAAGTCACGTAACTGTTCCTCCTAGATACATTCATTCACGATACACAGTAATCAAAAATAAGATTAAAAATTTGCACAGTTTATCGTCGACATAGGCCAACTCATCTCGAATTCGGTCTTATCGGGTTTGGAACCATAATTGAGACCATAACTTATCGTTTTGATCGGGATGGAGATTGAGATCGAAACAAGCTGGCTCTGCTCATGTCTAGTTTATCCTATTTTCTGTTTAATTGATTAAACCTACTCTTTACTTGTAGTATCATTCTAACTATTTAAAAGAGTAGTATGAAATTTTTTTCAAAGGTCGGCCTTGCTACTTCGATAATAAGAATACTAATCAAGACTATCGAGTTACTACATTACCGTTTGAATAGGACATCGGTGTTGATGAAGTAGTTGGTTGAATAGTGTTTGTCGAAGTTGTTACTGAAAATAAATAGAGTTCGTTAGTAGTATTAAAAAAAGGAGGGAAAAAATACCATCGGTCATAGTTGTTGTGCTTCCATCTATAACAAATAGAATTTCGTTTAATGAATATAATCGTATCTATTCTTAAGATCTAATCAATTGAATATAAAAAACAAACTCGATGGAAATGTAGTTTTAATCAAAAATTCTGCAATGATTTGATTTTGACAAATAGAATCGCTTATAAAACTGAATTTTATAACTTTACCGTACCACATGAATTGGTTGATAGAAGAAATTTTTGAATTCTGTGATTGTATTGATCAGCCACATATATATTTCCATAGCTATCGAAGCTAAGAGTTAATGGGAAAGCTAATTGAGTAGATGTTGAACCACTTCCAGAACATGCCGCTATACATCGAAAACCATAGGGACCTGAACCAACAATACGATGATTCCAACCATCCACAATGAAAAGATAACCATCAGCATCAAGTATAACTCCACCGGGAACAGAGAGTGAAATTGTTCCTATTGCACCACTTCCTGCTATTGTCGTTCCATTCGATTGGCCCGGTGAAAACTTTTGAATTCGGTTGTTGAAAGCATCAGCTACGTACAAATTAAGATTTACATCAATAAAAATTCCACGAGGAGTATTAAGTGTAACTGACGTTGACCCAACGATACCCGTACCCGCAACAGTATTCCAGATGTTTAAACGTGTGTTCAATGATTTTGAGATAACTTGATGATCATTATTCATCGAACAATATAGATTATTAGTGATGTCAATGAAGAGGTAAAAGCACATTCCACACACGTACATTTCTGGAACGCTACTTGTTGAATTAACTGACCATTTGTCAACTCGATTATTTGAATATCCATTATCAATATAAACATCATTAGTATCTGTACCGAAGACACCAGATGGAGAATTTAAACCGCCCGAGATATTTCTTATAGGCACAGTACTTCCAGATGACCACACAAGGACAAAATTATTTGCTCGATTAGCTACATAGACATTATTTTTTGTATTGACAAAAACGCTATAAGGATATGTGCCGATCGTAGTAGTATTTGCAATGGTTATAGCTGTTGAGTTCCACGATGCATTCGGACAAATTTTTGGCTGATTGAAGGAAACAGCTAAAAAAACAGGATTACAGTTAGGATTAAGATAATCAGCTGACTATTGTATTTTAAAGAAGTACTTCAGTTGTAAACACGGCCTTTACAAGACGAGAAACACTGATGAGTGCATCGAGTTCTGATCAGAAATGTCCAGGGTGTGGATGTGGGTGTGGGTGTTGACCTCGTCTTCACCCACATCCACACCCACACCCGTCTATCATTCATTATGTAGTCCTAAATTTCAGTGATCAATCTCATACATAATTCGCTGTATATGTTTTTTTATCTCATTGTGAATCTCATTAAGTGACGTGGATAAGTTTCAACAAATGGCTCAACAATGCACTTGAAAATGCTTCACGAGATTTCGAGACTCATAGAGCCTATTGTTTCACTCTTAGTTTCATCACTGGCATAATGACGTGTTGAGACATTGATGCATTGTGATATACAAGACAGAGGGACGATTTATCTATTCCGGATAATGGTTTCGTTCGTCAATTCCAGTAACTCTCGGTCAAAAATCCGGAAAAGTGTTGAATCTTGGAAGTAGGGTGACTCGAGGGAACACAGTGAACTTCAAGGCTTCCAAAGACTTCAGAGGACTTCGCAAGACATCGGGACTAGTAGCGTAACCGAGATAGAACCAGAAGAGACTGAATCTCTCACTAGAGAACTGACCGTGAGCCACACCATCAGATAGTCTATTTCTATGATTTTGGAGGGATGAGTCTTGTACCACGCGAAGTCCAACAGGCTTAGCTGCACAAGCCCTATTATCGACAAATTTCTGATTATGCCACTATGAGGGACGTCATGAGCGTCCGACAAACTTGAGAAATTACGTGAATAACAAATCTAAATGCATACATCAACAAACGCCTTGTTGGCTATTGACAGACAAAGCTAGTTGTTCATTGTCCGATAGACTGTCATGAGGGATAGAAACAAACAACTTCATTGAAACAGTATTCAGTTACTAAATACGGCGTTTTATGAGTTCAAACGAATTTAATCTTTTTGCGGACCGATTGGTAAAAGAATAAAAGCTCACATTTCCGCTAAAATAAGATCACCGGAAATAAGGCAATTTCATCGATAAATATCGTGAACGCTACCGAGGGAGAAACAGCGACCTTCAATGCTTAAAAAGACTTCAACAACAGGCACTTTAAATGTTCAAGAGATTTCATAAAACTTCATAGAATTTTAAACGAGTTCATGGGCCTTCAGAACCCAAGACTCTACTACTTCCCCGTCGAAGGTACGATACTCGTCTCCGACGATCAGCTATACCGAGTTCTGGCCGGAAATGGAAAAACCGATCACCGAATCAGGACAGCAAAGGTCTACCTCCAGAGTCCAATCACTTTTCGAAGTTTTTTGATCGAAATCTGTCGTATGTCATTCATCTGTGAAAAGTAAATATGACCACAATTTTCCTATAACAGTTCTAAGACTCATAATGTCAACGGGTGCTACTTATCAAGGTTTTCTTCATATTGAGACAAGATACGATGGTGTTGTCGTGAAAGATGTTCACACAAAATACCTTGTTCTTAAGATAACTGGATAGGAAAATTGATTAAATCTTTACCTGACACTTGCCCGATGATCGATAGAAACAACGATATTTTCAAACTGCCAACTGATATCATTTTGAATGACTAAAAAAAAAAAATTTTTTCACATAGTTCAATAGTGATAATATACGAGAGTTCAAGAGGATACTTGGTATAAAGACAATGAGAAGAACATTCTCTGTTTCTTATTCTCTCATTTGTTTACTTATTTGTTTTCATACTGTTAACGATACATGATTTTAAATGTAAACTCTGTGATAATGACTGTCGCGTTTACTATTTTCATTGATATTGTTCATGTTTCTCAAAAACTCTATCGACAGAGAATAGACTAAAACTGATCTTATATTTCACTTCTATTTTATAGCGTTTCGAACACATAATTCATCTATTTCAAAAGTTAAAACACTTCAATCAACTTTTTCTTGTTATTTCGAAGTAAATCCAACTTTACTGAATCTTTCGTAATTTTTCATCAAAATTCTTCTATGCCGATTTTTATAAGCAGCAAATCTTTCCAAAACAATAGCTCGCTGCTACTATATTAGAGCAATTAGTATGCTTACAATAGACTCTAAAAAAATAGGTGTTTTCACTGAACAGTTAATGGTCAACTTGCTATAGCTACCCTACGATGCCTAATGTTGTACATAGGTTCAGTATTGAAAAATTACACTGCCACCGATGAAGGCAAAACTAGAGAAATCCTAGGTATTATTATTTTATTTGGCTAGATCAGCAAATGGCACGACTCGATGAACATTAGATTCGAATAAAAGTCTCGATTGCCGACCATCAATATTTTGCAAAATATGGATAACAGATGGGCGAGCTCGCTGAGCATAGGTCTTGATGACAAATCTTCCATTCCGTTTTCAGTTTCTGACAATTCTAGCGAAGTCTATGGCTTCTAATGAATCTCACAGACAGACTAGGACCTTCACTAAAGTGGTACATAATCTATTGTAAACTTGGTCGTCTGTGGCGGAAAAAGTATTGAAAAACATTTATCAATTAAATATGAAAAGACTCTCTTGCAGAATTAGCAGCCTGCGAAAATTTCGCTGTGCGACAAATTGTCTTTGATTTCCTGCTAGGTAGTGAAGTTTGCCAAGATCCACGTTGACATCAAATTGGGTTCTAAACAAAAAGGCTTTCGTGTTACTTTGACACTGGGGAAAAGATTTATATTACTTCTAATGCAAATAATTCCTTATCTGTTGCTAACTTCCTCCTCGCCTATTTAACTTTGTAACTGTATCTGCGAAAATAATTTACTTCTTCACTTTTGAAAACTATTGAGAACCATGACGCTGAAAGAAATTTTGTCTCTTACCGATTTTTCAAGGCTCGACTCGTTATTTCAAGTAGGATCTAGCAGATCTCTTCATCCAAATGCATAGGAAAAACACTTGATTTTAGGATCTATACACTCGTAAAGATTTGTAAAGAGCTCGTGAGACTTCACAAGTGTTCAAGACGAAAAAAAAACCTGTTATTTTTCTCTAGTTACAGAAATTCAATAAATGTTGCCTTTATAATTTCACATTTAGTATTTAAGAACAGTTTTTGAAGTTATAGTCTACACTCTGAAAGGAAGATTAAACTTAAGCTCCCGTATGCACCTTATATTCCATCAACTTACGAGAAAGATCCATTCGTGTGAGTCGTTTACCTATCCGCACTCTTCAATTCTCTGAAAAAATTGACTTTGACTCAAAAACCCTATCCCGAAGCGTATACTGGATTTACTGCCGTGCGATTTACTGCCGTAAACAATTTTCAGTAGGCGCGCTTTGCTTAAATGTAATTTTGAAAGACATTAATTTTGCTCAACTGCTTTTTTTTTTTTTACCCCCCCTCTTCCCCCCCCCCCCCCCCCCCCCGCCCCCTGCTCTATTTACCTGCATAAACGAGTGATAAAGCACAATTATATATCAGGCACTTGTTGAATTTTTTTAAGTTAAAATTTGGACATTGTATGGCAAAACATTTCGAATATCATTATTTTTATGCGATATAAAATTCTTACCAGGAATGGATTTTGATATTTAATTACTGAATTATTTCTTAGCATTAACTAACAAAAACTTGATGTAAATCAATTATTATCTTCTGATATCGCACTATTAGTTCTTCTTTTTCTTTTTTTATGACCGGAAGAAATGTAAAAATATAAGGGTTTACACGTTTTACTGTCCGCGGATTGATTTTCTATTTCAATTGGATTTTTTCGAGAAAAAATGGAATTTTCGCTGCTGAGGATTTACTGTTCATTGATTGAACAAAAAAAATATCTCGATTGGTGTTTCTTATGGGTGAGGATTTACTTATCAGTGATTAAAATGAGATAAAGAAATAAAAAAGTGAATCTGCATAAAGAGAATCAATGTTGCTCAGAAAAAAAACAGTAAACAGTATATATAGGAACAAATAAGAAAAAAAAGACAAGATTTTTTTTTCGATGGATGTTCATAACATCAAGGCTTATCAACTTTCAAGAATGCTGGAATATCAATACGACCACACCGACATCCACCCTCACACGTCATATAATATATTCTTCGGTTATTAATCCTCGGATGACTTTTTTTAGTCTAGCTGGACCAACATAATACTATTTTTCATTTTTCACGATGTTCATACGTACCATTTTCTGAATTATTTCTTTTCTAAAATTACCTCTTAAAGTTAGAAAAGAAGTGACTTAGAAATGGATCATATCAACGTAACAGGAAATGAAAAATGGCAGCATGTAGGCCCAGCTGGATCTAAAATACCATCCGAGGATTAATCGTTGTTTCTTTTGTTTCGAACATTTTTTTATTGTTTTTTTATAATCAACATTGATTCTCGTTACGCATATTCACTTTTGTAGTTCTTTCTCTTACTCTAATCAACGGAACGTAAATTCTCATAAATAAGAAATACTAATTGGAATAACTCTTTTTCAATCAACGGACAGTAAATCCTCACTCCATAAATTCATTAATTAGAACGAATTTTATCTAATCAATGGACAGTAAATCCGCGGACAGCAAATCGTGCACACGGATTATAATATTCTCATCATTAAAATAATGTATCCGCTATTTTGTGGTAGTTCATTGTTTATGTATAAAAGTTTTCTTTAACTTAATATTTATATTCATATATCGCTGGATCATTACAAGTGAATAATTTTAAAAACAAAAAACTGCTTAGGATATACTGCTGTTCTGATATTTGATTGATTAATTTAAAAAAATGTCTTTGTTATAGGAATAATATTTAGAGTTTCTAATTAATAGGTTGCCGCTATGCATATGTATAATGGATTACATAATTGTTTTCTTTTTGTTCGGATTTCATAAACAGAACGGATCGTGGTTTCGATTATATCAGTTGATGAATATGCTTTCAAATTAAAAATAAATGCCGTCATCTAAGTAATCTATCAAATGACATCTAAATTAGTACTTTTAAAATTTGATTTTAATCGGGATTTATGAAACTCTCAACGAAAATAAAAACAGAAATTATCTTCTGTAGATGATTAATATAATTTTGTATTCAAAACGTTGTTCGTATATCTCGTGAAATGTACATATGCATTTTTTATTGATACTTTATGTTTTCATCTATCAAAACAAAAACTGTCGATCGTTTGATTTTTAATATAAGTTAATATTCTATATGTAAAATAAAGAAAATACTAGAATTAACAGTTTCTATAAAAGGAATTGAATTACATATTTTGAAATTTATAGGAAAAAGAATTGATAAAGAAACAAATAATTGTTCTCTCTAAGACACTTGAGTATTGATATAACATGAAAGGATTACAGCATGAAAAAATCGAATACTGTATTATGAATGGCAAATACTAGATGATAATTTTCATCGTATAGATATGATAAACATCTATATTGATATCTAAATAAAATTGTACGAAAAAAAAGTACATTTCTGTATTATATCTATGTGATTATACAAAATCTTTAGATTTATCATCATCCTCGTTGTTCATATTAGAGATGGTATATGAATTCTTTTTTCTTTTCTTTTTTAAAGGTTTTTTTTTTGTAAATTAAAACGATTGAAGTATACATTATTGCTTCGAGATATTGCAATGGTTGATATCAAATAAATATAGTTTTCAGCGACATGTTATCATTATTCATCATGAACATCAATTCAAAGGCTCTTTAAAAAACAGATGATCAAAAAAAATCGAATTCAAATCTATAAATATAGACATACATATGTTCAGTAGAAAAAATAATATTTACATCAACGATTCTCTGTTATATTTCAGAGAATTCCAATACAAAGTAAACGTTTTAACATTTTTGAAGTTAATGAAAATCTTTTTACTATTCTAGATAATATTGAGAAAAAAAGTAAAGTTGAAATCATTATCTGCATGAATCTTTAATATATGATTAATAAAGTTGACAAATAAAATTCTACAATGCTCATTTTTTATGTATTTTGAATAAATTAACGTTTTGAAAAAAAATATTTTCTTCCATAGATAATTAGTTTATTATTTTATTCAATTTTCAACTATTGAAAATAACGAAGTCCAGCATATTTTAAAAATTTTTTCTACTAGTTTGACTTTTTTCTAATTTATCCCATAATCGGCGCCCATCTTTCATCCCCCCTAACAAATCGAATAGAATGATTTTAAAAAAAACTTTCGTCTTAAGAAGCATTAAAAAAAATTCTATTTTGCTTTTGATATTGTGACTTTTTTTTGTTTATTCAATCAAAACAAAAATTAATAATCATTCGTTCCTTTTGTTCAAACAATAACATATTATCGCACTATGATAAAAAAAATTGAAGAAAATAAATCGCCTGCGACCGATCCCTATTCTCTCTCAAACCACGAATCTTCATTAATAACGTACCCTCTCTCTAAGCTTTATCGTGTAATGTTTATAATATTTGAATGATTTGTTCATATATATTAATTCATTTTCCAATAAAATTCAAGAAAGTCGAATTTTGATAATATTCTATTTTTTATAACTTAGGATAATGAATCAATCAGATAAAAGGCGCGTTTCTATTTTCTTTCATCAACATAACTACTCATCTCAATATCAACATATTTCTTGCTTGAATAATCTTATTGAAAATATAAAATAAAATTGTGACATGTTCAACGAACCATTTATTAATTGAAATTGGTAAGTTATATGTATTATAGTTCAGATAAACTAATGATCACAATATAGGATTAAGAAATGTGTTATGTAATACAATATTAATGTTCCATTTAGTCAGATTAAGGATTTGCTACAGCTTTTTAGTTAATATACTTGTTAGTAAATCCTTCTAGAAATATTAGACATCAGAATTGGACTATTAAACATGAGTAAAAATAAATAAATAAACTATAGAATCCTTTTAATAAATTTTTACGATCATTTGAGATAAGAAACAAACCTTTGAGCTGGAAAATAGTTTTTTTAGTTTATGTATTCAATTAGGAACTATTGATAAACTTAAGTGTATTTTCACGAACATTTGAGATGTAAAATAAACCTTTGAGCTAGAGAAGAAAAAAACCGTTTTTATTCTCTACAATTAACTACGAACTATAGTTATATTTCAATGTATTTATACGAAGATTTGACATGAAAACGTAACTTATGAGCTCGAAAATAGATTTTCTCTTCAATTGAGGAAATTAATTACGAACTATTGATAAAATTAAATGTGTCTTCACGAACATTTGAGGTGGAAAATAAACCTTTGAGCTAGAGAACAAAAAAATCGTTTTTATTCTCTGCAGCTAACTACGAACTATAGCTAGATTTCAACATAATCATAGGAACATTTGACATGAAAACAAAACCTATGAGCTAGAAAATAGAATTTTTTTTCAATTGACATATTTGATTACAAACTATAGCTAGATTTCAATGTATTTATACGAACATTTGACATGAAAAATAAACCTTTGAGCTAGAGAATAAAAGAATTCTTTTTAATCTCGATAATTAACTACGAACTATAGATAGATTTCAATGTAGTTTCACGAACTTATGATATGAAAAACAAACATTTGAGTCAGAAAATAAAATTTTGTTCAATTTATCTGTTGAATTACTAACTATTAATAAACTCAAACGTATTTCTACTAACATTTGAGTTGAAAAATAAATCTTTGAGCTAAAAAACAAAAATTTTCTTTTCCATGTATTCAACTTATTACAAACTATAGTTAGATTTCAATATATCTTCACGAACATTTGACATGAAAAACAAACCTTTGACATAGAGAATAGAATTTTTCTTTTTCTAATTGGTGAAATTAATTACAAACTATAGTTAGATTTCAATGTATCTTCACGAACATTTGAGATGAAAAATGAACCTTTGATATAGAAAATAGAATTTTCTTTTTCCAATAGGTCAAATGAATTACGAACTATAGTTAGATTTCAATTGATTTTCACGAACATTTGAGATGAAAAATAAACCTGTAGCATCGAACATAGAAATAAAAGTTGTGATCATTGGATTTATCTAACTTAATCATATAATTTACTTGAAAGAAAAAGAAGAATTTGTAAATAAATGTTTACAACGGCAGTAAATCACACGGCAGTAAATCCTGTAATCCGTGGTTGATGACCTTTTAGTTTATTTTCTCGACGATATTTTGCTCGGCGATTAGAAAACCATATCTTATTTTGAAAAAGAAAAAGATTAATTTCTTCGTAAGAAAAAAGAAATTTATACTTGAATGTTTGCTTCAGATGAATTTATTTTACATGCAAGTTCTTCACGTGCATATACATCTGGATAATGTGTACTATTAAAAGCTAAATAAAATGTTTTATTTAATACACAAAACAAAGAATAAAAGTAAAATACCTTGTTCTACCCAGTGAAAAATAATCATGGAAAAAAACGGAAGTGAACGCGTTCAGCAAAACATGGAAAGTTACCTTTCTCATGAAGAACGCGTTCTATAGTTTGGCGAAGGCGTTCATGAGCGACAAGAATGAGTTATGCATCTGAAGGAACGCATT